ACATACATTCTCAGGGTCACCTTTTTTTTAATGTGTATTTCACATTGATGCAAATTATAGTCAATGGACTTATTAGAATATTTTTTCTATATTTTAAGCATTTTTAATTGCATTTCATGTATTCTAGACTGAACACTTCTAAAAATTCTCAGATAATTAGAAAAATACTCTCTAGGCATGAATACAAACACAGATACAAAATATTTGAATGAGAAAATATTTTCATCATCTTTACATCCATTCTATCAATTAATTTCCATTTCTATAATTAGGGTTTTTTCATAGCATAAAATTTGATAATGTTTTAATTTGATAAGTGATGATGACAATAATAATAGTAGTAGTAGTAATATTAATAATAATGCCATTTTCATTAAAGATTTTTTTTTATTATTAAGTAATACTTCAGGGATTATTTGACATCATAGAAAAGGTTTGCTGATTATGGCAATACTGCAGTATTGTCTTTATTTTAATAGTTTCACTAAATTCACTCATCAATATAAAGCCAATATCTTTTTCTTACAACCCCTTCATAACTTCCGTATTTTAACTTGTTCTCAATAAATTTGATTATTTTAGGCATCTGGGGCCAAGCAGTGCCTCTCTACTGCAATTTAAACACAATCATATCTCTGAAGTACAGCAAAAGACACCTTAAGCTGTTCCTTAAGGGGGAAAAAAGAATGACCAGTTGAGGAAGTGTAAACATGATCCTAGTGCGGTGGTGTACCAGAAGTCCCGGGTTCTCTTTTGCATCACTCTTAAGCCTCACAGGAGTTAACATCTCGTGTTCTCTGGAATAAGTATGAGGAATTACTTAGTGAAAATAGAAAGATTCTGGCAGATGACTCAGTTGTTTAGCCAAAATGTAGGAAGATTACATTGATGGAAGGCCCTAGAGCAGCCCAGAGAGAATTCTGGGAAAAATCCACAGGGCTTTGATCTGTGGCCAAAACAAATGTGGCAGAGTCAAAGATGGTCATCTCCATCCAGTTTCTGCCACTCCTCACTAGCTGTTTCCATGCTTTACCCAGTCCTTCCTCAGTCTGCATGTTTACTGCTTGTCGTTCTGGCTCCATTTTCCCTTGTTGGCAATTCAGAGAAGTTGCCATTCTTGAATGTCAGCCCAGCCTTTGAACTTAGCCTTGCTTTGAGCAAGAGGTTGGCCTAGCTGAGATCCAACTGTCCCTTCCACTATAAACACTTGGAATATTCCGTGGTTTTCCATACTGCTAATATTTAGGCCAAGGGTGCTAAAAGAGAGGGTCTCTGATTGGACAAATAATCAGCTGGATAATTTTAAACTCCTTCCACAGTACTTCTCAGAGAGAAAGAGAAGCTTTTTAATCTTCTCTCCTTATTACACTACACTGAATATATATTTCTTTATATATGAGAGTTGTTTAAAAGTCAATGCAAGCAGGAAGAATGGTGACATGCTTTTTGATTTCAGCTTGCCAGATGTGTTTCTTGAGATTAAATAAACAACAAATTATTCTTCCACTGTAATTGAAAAATAATGCAGTGTTTATTTACTTTCTTTGTAGCATCTCTGAGGTATCTCAGTGGCTTGTGGGGTTGGCTCTAAAATAGAAACACTTGGAGAATCTGACATAGCTAATATTCACTGCATGACCACCAACTGGAATGATTATTTCTACTAAAGTTAATCTTGAATAAGCAAGAGGTTTCTCTTGTAATTTGTTCATTGCATATCAGGCTTTTAACTTTATCAAGTCCTTCATCCCAATACCATCACATTAGGATGTGTTGTACTGAAAGAAGAACCATCTAAATACAGCTTCAGTCAATAGGGTCTTTTTTAACCATTCATCTCACAGTGATTAATTGATTCTATGTTTTTTCACATGTCCCTAAAGGCAGATAAGCCACAAATGTTTTAAATGCAACATCCTTCAGCCTGTCTTCCCAGTCTTTCCTTGCAACTCATAATGCCACGTTCTCCTCAGCACTTGTTATCAGGGATCCTGTGTAGGCACTGCAGTGAATCCTTCCTCATCTGCTCTGGGCAGCAAGTAGGGACTCTTTGTGGTGAGGGAAACAGGCATCTCTATGGTGCCATGCAGCTTCTGTAAACATCTAAAGTAGCAGAAATCAATTGTATTATAAAAGAGCCTTTTCTTCCTTGCTGATTATTAAAGTTTTTAAAACTCACCTACCAATATTTCAAATTTAAATTTCTACTCACTTTTGGCCAGATGAATCCCAACTTAACTGTAAAACAGATTTCTAGTCTACATGAGTCAAAATATTTACCCCTGCAGCCAGTGGTGGAAAACAGGCAGTGGTGGAAGATGACTTAAATAATTTTATTCAGTCACTGTATAGGCAGCTTGTTCTCTGGGTTTGCCCATTATGCTCACAGATTGGAAGGAAGTCTGGATGGGAGCCTTAGGTTAACTGACAACTTCATCTGACAAGCCAGATGAACAAGGGTGCATGGGATGAGTCCTGCCCACACACCAGAGGCAAGCATAGGTGATAATCAAAGTTATTAAAAACCCCTGCGTTATCACAAAAGCTGAAAGCTATCTCCTGCAGTAAGGCTAAATCTGGAATCCTATTCATGCTACTATAGAAAACAGTCTAGATTTCTTTATAAAAGTGGAGTTAGAAATGTACAGTACATAAAATATTTTGTATTAAATATATATTAATATATTTATGAATACTTAAAGTTTTATTATAAAATTTAATTGGTTTTACATAATGGACTTTTGTAATTCTTTATATCCAACAACTCCCCTCCTTACCTAAAAATGGAAACAAGTAAAATTATAATGGCTTACATCGGATTGGAAGATTGCTTCACTTATCAATCTTTCGACCTAATTATAAGTAGAAAATCAGTGACAGAATTTATTTTTAATGAACTATCTCTAGGAAAAGTTCTGGCCTTCTGACTAAATGCACTTTCTTTGAAAATCCTATTAAAAACATAAAGTCAATACTGGTAAATTTTGCAGCTGGCAGGGAGTTTGGTCGATGTCATGGAGCAGATAAGACCTTACTGATAGAGAGCAATGTGGAATGCTTAATAAACTAAGTATCAGCAAACGGGAAGTGTTTTTATCCATTCATTGCAAATTAATTCTTGAAAGAGAGTAAGGAATGTAACCCAAACTTGTAAAAGTGCTTTTGAATGATTATGTATAATCACCTGAGCACAACATCATAATGAAAAAAGGCAGATTCAGCAAAACTTCTTAAAACTAAAGGGTTTGTTTATATTTTTCTTAGTAAGATGCCATTGGTAAACTATTTTATTGCACTTATTTTTAATGTTAAGAAGATCAATGACGTCCTGTTCCAGAGTCTTTCCCTGCTTCTTCATACTTCTTCCATCTTATATTTCCTTTTTTTGTCCTATTTGCTTCAAAGTTACTATGTGACACTTCCATATGCTATGCAAAGCATCTTGTAGATGTCTTATCTTTTACTAAAGTTTTTTTGGGATATTTTTTACCTGAAATATGGGATTTCTATAGGATTTTCCATGCAGTTCTTCATTAGCAAAAGTAATGGCTGATTCAGTTGTCCATGTACAAGGAAGATGGAAAGATGTTTCCTTACTACCTAACTCCTATAATAGATCTCATTTCCTGTGGAGACAACTAGGCATGTAATTTCAGTATTTATTTCCTGTGAGGAATCTTGTTGTTCATTAAAAGCTTGTAAAACTCAAAGAAAAGGACTTTGCTTGGGAAAAGCAGTCTAAAACAGATCTGAAAGGATAGAAACCAACTAGTGAAGAGTTAGACATTCAGAAAAGATGTTTTGGGTCATATGAAGAGTATTGGTAGGATCTGTGTTGTCTGGAGATCATTTTTTCAGCAGATAGGAGGCACAGCTGACCTACAGCTCCCGGGTATCAGACTCTATTAGCTATAAAACTGCTCCAGAGACATTTGTGGTTACCACGAGTAAATATTTACCCAAAACAGCTGCAGCCATCTTCTGTGCCAAATAGACCACAGCAGTCTGATGGAGAGACCTCTCTGATTTCTTCCAAGTGTGTAGGCTGTCTTGGTTCCTCTCGGAAGTGCCTGAGTTAGGCAGGTCCTTCCTGAGGTCCTAGAGACATTTCCAGTGGCTGTGGCTTCTGAGCAAGTGGAAGGAGGGTCAGGGAGATCTACAGCCCAATCCAGCAACCTGCTGAGAGAGCAAAGCACAGATGGAATGGGATGAAAATCTGGGGACTAGCAGCGACTATACAGAGCTTTTTACATCCCAGGGAGTCATTGATTTCATGGAAAGAAGGACCTCTAATGTAGGGACATCGTGAGCAGGGCAAGCTGTTCCAAAGTTTCTTTGGTTTGTATGTTCTCCAGTCAATGATTTTACATCTTCCCTATTTAAAATCATATGTGGTTTAGTGCTGTTATGATAAAGCTCAGTGGTTTGGGTTTTTGATTGGTTATATGTATAATCAAGCCTTTGGTGGTGTTACAAGAAGGAGTCTAGACAGGTCTAGATAAAATCTTTGGCCAGCCTGGGGTCAAGCTTATGTGGGAAGAAAAGACCAAATCAAAACCTGCTATACTGCCACAAAATAGAAAGTAATTTCTTCACCAGTTTGGTATATCCTTTACGTTGCAGATTAAACACTTGATTTCTGGAACTAAAAACTGCAGCTGCTTTTTCTTCTGAATTGATAATCATTTCTGTGGCTATTTAATTGTGAGTTAGTAATGAAAAAACAAAAATCACACAGAAATTCTAGGGATTTCAGAGAGTTTTACAGAGAAGGAAAGTTCTACTGCACCAGTTCTACAATTTGGGGTGACAAAGACAAAAATAATATGCATTATTATAATTATGAAGTCAGAATCAAAGAGACTGAAACTGAAATATATTTCTATCACTTTCTCTTTTGCAACTTGAAGCTATGAAATTTATATTTGTCAAAAAACACAGACATCAAAGAAATAAAAAAGAAATAACAGTGGTTTAGAATGCAATATAATAAATAAGAAAATAATAATTTTGTGTATTGAAAAAAATGTTGCAAATTAAAAAAAAATTAGGAAAGAAAAATTATTGCCTCAAATTTTGCAGGTGGAGAATCAGGCCTAGTCTCTAGAGAGTAAATATTATTTCTGAAGTACTCAAAAGCTTTATCATTTTTTGCCTCTGTTGTCTGAAAGATAAAAAATTGCAGTGTAACAACATATATACTTTTGTCACCAAATTTGAATGCATTTATTGCAGATTACTGGTGTAGAATTTCAACTGAGTTACATTTCTAACTTGCTTCTACTAGGAAAGGGAGGAATAAAATTCATTACTTGTGTTTCTACAGAGCTACCCATTTTTTGTTCATTAATATGTGATAGCTACTTGCACACTGGTTTGAGTTTTTTCTATTTGCCTCAGCAGTAAATAAACTTTACCAGATTAAGGAGAATTATGGGTATTTGCCATGTGTCCCATTTGAGGTCTCTTTGTATGGCAGAACACACAACTTTCAGAACATTCTTCAGAGAAAAAAATTGTTCTGTGGAGAGTCTGAAAACAACTTTTTTTTGTTTTCTCTTGCATAATAATTTTATTTTCAACCTGCTGCAATTACTTCTGAATTACTGACTTCTGAGTAGATGGAAACATAATTTTTTTTAATTAGAATGGATTTGTAATTTGTTTCCTTATCTGATGAGTCCTAAAGCTTTTAAAAAAAAACTCACCAAAGAGAACATCACTGAAAAGTAGAGCAACTTAATCTAGAATTGTCAGTTGCCTGATAGATCAAAAACTTTTTGATGGTATGGAGAGCAAAAGCCTGCTTATAACAGGGTGAATTACTTCGGGCTCCATGTTATGAGGGACATCTAATATTTAGTGCTTGATAAATATTAGATGATCTGCTAAATGTTAGATGGTCACTAGGTATTTTGTCTAGAACCTGAATAGAAATTTCATCTGAAATCTGATTTATTCTGTTATTTTACCCATCAATACATTCTGGAAATGCAGCTGCTTTTCACAGAAATGGCATTAGAGAATTACCATTAACTATGAAAACTCCCTTTGATAAAAGGCTCTAATTTGAATTAACATTCTCCTTCTCTTTCCTCTGAAGTGGACCCTTTGTTGTTGGTCCCTGTGACATGAATTATACTCTTTAAGTTAGCTTGTTAGAGTTGAAAAATATAATTTAAAAAAAAAAAAACACCAGGGGGAAATTTCCTCTACAAACTATTTCCTGTCCTATCAGATTGGAATTATACACCTGTAGGGTGGCTGGGTAAAGAGCATACATATCTACCTTTAGTGTTATTTTATTTATCTCTTATTTGGAGAAACTCCAGGAGAAATTATCATGACCATCACAGATTAATTTTGCTGTTCATCCAGATTCCTTCGGCCAGCTATGTCCTTCAGGCATAAATTCAGTTTTTGTCTTGTGATCATTGGGGATACTGAGGTATGAGGGTAGATTGAGGAAGAAGATGGTTTATGGATCCAAAGACTACATCCAAGTTTGTTTTCTTACGCGGTCAGTTCTGATTTTAAATAAGGAGGGGCATTCATGCAATGTACCCTAGCATGTCTTTCTAAAAATGCTAATTTTTAGGGTCCACAAAGTGCTTCACGCTTGTCAGCACCATAATCTCCTCTGTTTAACTTGTCATGTTTATGTACTGTTCCAATTTTCTCAGCACTGAGGGGTTTATTTTCCATTATGTTGGACATGTCATCTAACTCAAGTCTGAAACCAATTTGTGTTCCTTTGAGAGACACAACAATGTCACAGGCAAAAAAAAATCAATCTATTCACAGTTTTTCTTCCTTTTCCTTGTAATACATTCATTTAATACTTATCACTTCCCAACTATCTTGTCAGGATCCTTTTTAAGCATCATTTTTTAGTGTTCTGTTCATTAACTTTTCAAAGTCCTACGCAGGACTACATGTGACCAGCACATAATCTAAACATCATAAAATTCACATCAATACTGTTCCTCTCTCTTCACTTCAGGACACAGCTGTTCTTTATGTTAATTTCTCGACTCCAAACTTTCAGAAATTCATAAAAAATTGACATTTCTTAAAGGGGTTTTTTTGCAAACCAGGTTATCTTGATCAATTTATCATGCTTTATACTCTTCAGTGTTCTATACTGCAATAATATCATGCCCATCAATGATTATTACTCTCTCATTTCTTTTTCTTTCAGGCACCTGTGGTCTTATGCTAAACCACCTGAACTTCATGTCTTTTTAACCAATAAAATTTAAATCACTGAAATTATCAGAAAGGCTTTTACTAAATCAGTTTTGTTCTTCTTGATAAATAAGTTGCATACTGAGAATTACCTCCTGAGTGGGAATGTGAAAGCAAAGACATTTGTCTCTACTGGGTACGTGTCAGAGTGGACAATATCAAATCTTGAGTAGCTCAAAGCAAAGCATCTTACCTGGAGGTGCAGCCAGGGAACTGCAAATTTATAACTTCTCTGTTCTTTTCACAGTTTTGTTACCCTTTGTACATGGGCCTCACATTAACATCCCTTGCCAAATATTCTGCATTTCAAAACTAAATGTTGTATTTTCACATCTAAGAGTTATCATGTAAACCTTGGTCTTGTGATAAGTTTTTCTTCTCCAGTTGGTCTTCTCTTTCACAGTCTCCAGCTGTTGTCAATCTTTCTGTTCTACCTGAATCCCTGTAGCCAGGAATAAGCTCATCTGTTAAGCTGGTGTGAAGGAGTGGGAAATTGGAAATTAATTATTCCTTTCAATAACATCTGGATCCAAAGCATCAAATAATCATGACAGTGCTTATCCCCAGCTTTCACCACTGTGGCCAAGTGGCATGATTACCTTTTTATTATGTTGCCATTGGGTGTTTGTCATTCCACCATGTGGTATGAAAATGTGTTGATTATGGTTAACACACCTGAGCTCCTGACACTACCCATTTCCACTGAACAGATTTCAAAAGAAAATTAATGACATTTAGAACCATGCAGACAGCCCGATGCCTATTAAACTCTAAATACTGAAGTTACTACTGTGTAATTTAATAATGACAAGCAATCAAAGGAAACCAGGAGGTTCTCTAAGTCTCTTTAATTACACTTATTTGTTGCTTTATGGTGAACTTCTGTCCAATGCTCCCAAATCTCAGAGAAATCAGGAGGAGGGAGACTCTGAGCTCATTAGCAACATCCAGGGCCATCTGAAGTGCACTGGCATACCAAGAAATCTTCACTGGAATGGCAGAGTAAAGATGACAACTGAAGATCTGAAATCTTCCATAGATTCTGTGTCATATCTGCCAATCTGGGACAGATTTCTGAATAACATTAGGTGTGGCACCCTGGATACTAGACTGTGTTAAGTTCCTAATTCACAGACTATGACATGAAAATTTACTTGTCTGAATATCAATATCTAAATCTGGCATATGTGTTGTGTGTCAACTATAACTGATGGGGACTTAGATTAACTGCTGACATGTAGGCATCCTATTCTATTGAGATGCCCATGGATATTCCATCTCACTTCCCACCAAAGGTCCTTTTGTCACAATTGACAGCACTAGGATACATATGCAAGCAAAAGAATGGATTTATTGTTGAATGTTTTTCCCCCACACTTGCTGAAGTCATTTTGTGAATGTATTTTCATGAAGAGGACTTTAGGGTGCTGTATTAAAACAACTTATGTACCATCTACATTTTAACAGAAAATATTTGGAACAGGCCTTGATATTCATCAATGTGACATACAATAATTCACTGTGAGATTTCTTTATTGGGCTTAGAAAGTGTTAAACCTTAAATGGGAATAGAATCTAAACACATGAAAGAGCAGAGAGAGTGATATAGTTAGGCAGAGTTTCTGACTGTCAGAGAGCTCCAAAAATATGATGCAGTATTCCTGAAAAGTTTTGAGGCTTAAATTAGCTTTCACTAAAGCCAGGCTGAGTTGTCAGACGTGTTCTTAGCAAGCATACAAAGTCTTTATGGGAATGGCAGCACTTGCAGACCCTTCTAGAATCAACAGCCACAAGCTGTCAGGGCTCTGAAGTCTCAATTTATATTCCAAATGATGTTGCTGGTTCTGTGTGTATGACACATACCAGGCTTTTCACCTTGCTGGGTTTGCTCTGCTCAGGGGGAGTTGCATTCAACAATGTATTTTTTGCCTGAGACAAGGAATTGCTTTCATTTCCAGTTCTCACAGCATTAGAGCAGCACAGTCAAGAGTGCAATTTCTAGTCTGGAAAGAGAACCAGTGACACTGTTTCAACAGCAGTCATTGGACAACAGACACAAGCAAACCTGGAGATTCTTCAGGGAAAATTTCCCTTCAGGCAAACAAAAGGTTCTTTTTCATGTCTGTAAAAAAATATACCCTTGACCTTTTCAAAATGCAGATAGAACCAGTGAGCAAACATCTGAGATGTCTTGCTCATCATGTATGAGTACCTATGCATGCAGACTTTTCCTAATTGAGTTAGTATTTAAATAAAAATACATATTCTTAGACTTCAGAGAGGAAAATGACAGTTCACCCAATACTACCTGCACCTCCAAAACAAAAACTAGGATATGAACTTAAGGATTTGAACTTTTAGTAGAAACTTCTGTCATAAAAAGAGGCAAGGCTCTTCCTCAATTCCATAAGATAACTTTTTCTACTTCAGGTCAAGTTGTTCCAGTAAAATCTGTTCTGCAGCAGCATTTTCTCAGTTCCAAGACATGACTGTCCTTGAGATAATATAGTTTGCTATCAGCAAGGAAATAAATCTGTACCAGAGTAACACTGTTCTGGTAATCGGTGTCTGAAAAGAGAAGACAGTTTGTGCACAAATGAGACATTCTATAGGTGTTTAGTATCTAACTTTGTCCTTGGAAAATAATTCGTTCTTATTGACCGCATAAAAAGCTTGTTCCAAAAATGTATTTTCATTTCCACAAATTGGGATTTTTATTATTTTTTCAACCTCTAGTATATTTACACATCAGAAACTGTCCCTAACTATTGCATTTGCCTCTGCACTGTTTTAGATATGATACAAAAATTCTCTGCCTCACATCCAGATTAATTAGAAGGACATGGAACTTGTTGGGTTTTTTTCCTGGTTTCATAAATTATTTTAAATCTCTGACTGATAAGCAATTCATAGAGCTGTAGCAGCTAAGGAAAATAAATACCTGTGTGTCCATTAGAATGTAAATTAACTCATTACTATGCCTGCTCCTGACCTTTTCTGATGGCTGTGTTCTTGCTAACAAAGACACTTTGCTATTCATGAAAGTGAAATTTAATGGTAGCTTGAGATTCTCTGACATATTTTAGATTACATTCTGATAGACTCAGGTGACCGGTGAGGGTTCCAGCTTGAACAGCAAATACTTTTAGCATTCATGACTTTGAATAGCTATCCTTTTTCTAATTATTTGTGAAGATTTGAATATTGTTGAAAATTTGTTGCTTCAGGAGGCTAGGTCAGAGAAACTTCATGAACTTCACAAAAAGGGCTCCTATGTTTAAAAAGCTGAATATTGACAGTACCTGACCTCACAGTCATTTAAGATTTTGTATCGGCTCTATAAACATGGAAACTTACAATCATAGAATCATGAAAAGGTTTAGATTGACAATACCTTAAGATCATCAAGGCCAACCATTAACCAGCACTGCAAAGTCCATCACTAAACCATGTCCTAAAGTACCACATTTACACATCTTCTAAATACCTCCAGGGGTACTGACTCAACCAACTCCCTGGGCAGCATGTTCCACTGCTTGGCAATCCTTTGGGTGGAGAAATTTTTCCAAATATACAATCTAAACATGCCCTGTGCAACTTTAGGCCATTTTTTCTTGTCATATCTCTTGTTACTTGGAAAAAGAGATCGACCCCCACCTCACCACAACCTCCTCCTGAAATGTGTGGAGCAAAAAGGTCTCCCCTGAGCCTCTCTGTGTCCAGGTTCAACACCCCCAGCTGCCTCAGCTGCTCCTCATCAGACTTGTGCTTCAGATCCTTCCCTGGCCCTGTGCAAGCCCTTCTCTGGACCCATTCCAGCATCTCAACGTCTTTCTTGTCCTGAGAGGCCCAAAACTGATTAAAGGTGTGGCTTCCCCATTGCCGAGTACCGGGGAATGATCACTGCTCTGGGCCTGCTGGCCACACTATTGCTGATACAAGTCAGGATGCTAGTGATTGTAAGACTTCTCCCAGCTGCTTATAGAATATTTCATGAGCCTCTTCATCCTGATTGGGCGGTCTACAAAAGAGGAATCCCACCATGTTATCTGTCTAGCTGGCCTCTCTTAATTCTTAAACATTCAGCCGTGTCATCTCATCACTAAGGTCCAGACAGTCAAGACAGCCTCTAAAATACAGAGCTGTCTCTCCTTCTTTGCCTGTGTCTTCTGAAGAGTTTATTATCTTTCATTGCAGCAGTCCAGTGATGTGAGTCATCTCACCACATTTCTGTGGTGGCAGCTATATCATAGCTTTCCTGTGGTACCAAGAACTGGGCTTCCAGCTCTTCCTATTTGTTGCCTGTGCTGTGTGCAGTGGTGCAAGCATTCTCCAGCTGGGCTATTGATCCTGCCACCTTTTTGGGGAGATAAGCCCTAATTCCTGTGTGACCACTGTCAGCTGCTTCCATGGTTTCTAGCTCATTAATAACCCTCATGTCTCTGGTGCTGCATGGATCCATCCCCTACCTCCACTGAGGACATTGGTAGCACACTGCCCCTCAGTGACATGCAGCCCCCAGGGTTAGCTCTAGCAAGCCTGCTTTTATCCCTTACCCTGTTCAAATGCAGTTTAAATCTCTTTCAATGAGCCCTGCTACCTCCTGTGCATAGATTCCCCACTATGAGACAACTGTACCCTATCTGTTCTCTGAAGTCCTGGTGTTCTCTAAACTAACCCATGATCAAAAATACAAAACTCACACTTTGCTGGTGGCACCAGACTCAGAGCCAAGGAATGATCTGCTGGTTCTTCCTGTTTCTTCTGTAATCATCTTCTGCAACTGTAAAAATAGAGGAGAACCCTATCTGTGCTTCTGATCCCTTAACCACTCATCCCAAGGCCCTGAAGTCAGTCTTGATTTCCCTCTAACCTCTTGTTGCAGCTTCATCACTGTCTACCTGAGAAATTAATAATGGGGCTGTGTCAGGGTAGGAAGCTTTCTCTTCATATCTTTAACCAAGGCTGGAGGGAGGCAAAAGACTTCCATAAGAGCTGGGTCTGGGCTGCATATTGGGCCTTCTGTTCCCTTCAGAAAGGAGTTTCCTGTGACAATGACCCATCTTTGTTTTGGGAGGCAGCTTTGGCGCAGGGAGCAGGCCAGCTTGCTGACAGCATCACACCCATGCTGCATGAAGCACCAGCCTTGTTATGTTTGGTTCCACTTGCAGAGTCTCATACCTGCTATGCCTGGACATCTGGAGAGGTGAGGCAGTCCAGTCCCAGGGGAGACATGCACTGGGCAGGCACTTGTCACCACTGCCACCAATCCCTTAAGTCACTTTGTTCAGCCAAGGGGAGGGGATAACAAATTCCCTCTATCATCTGTCCTGTCTATCTGGGGAGCCTGTCCCTGGGAATAGAGGGAGTGAAGGTTAAAGCACAGTGCTGGTAACACCAAAGTCATGGGCTCAGTCCCTGGATGGGCTATTCACTCAGAGTTGGACTTGACAATCCCTGTGTGTCTGTTCCGACTCAGAATATTCTGACATTCCAGTAGTCTGATACTCTTACACTCCCCCTGATTCCTCAGCCTATTCACTTCTTCCCAGAGGTGTCACTGAGCACAGGAGCTCCTCACTCACTATGCCAGCAGTCCTGGCACAAGGGCAGTGCAAATCCTGGCACTGGGGTGGCAGTATGATCCCACTGGAGTTCCACCTGGGCAGCTGTGCTCCTCATGCTGGGTGCAGAGTTAGAGAGGCCTTGTCCTTCTTCCTGTAGCTGGCAGGGTTTCAGCACCATTCCTGTGTGCCCTTCTGTGCCAGCTGCTGCCAGACTATCACATCATGCCCTTAGCCACACCATGCCCTGTGTGCCCACCCTGCTGATGGTGGTCCTGACCCCCAGAGATCCCTACAGGGTATTTTGTCCTTGGGAGGAAGGTTTGGCCTGGTGCTCCTGGTTCTGTTAGCTTGGCATGGGCTGCAGGCTGCTATTGGCCCTCCTCTGAGCTTCCCAAATTCAGACAATTCCCCCATGCATCTCACTGGAGCATTCCACAGGCAATCACGTCAGCACCAGAGCCACTCGCCTCAGCAACTTCAGTAGGATGAGATCAGGTACATTTTCCTAAAGTACTCTTCTACTTCTGCATCATTACTGATAAACTTCTGTCTCACACTTCATGCTATGTGTCAAGAAGTCTGAAACTCCGAAAGAAGAGCTGAAATAAAGACTTGGACTCACTAAGTCACCTTGAGTAGAGATAAACCATTGGGCTGATACCCCAATGGGGTAGAGATCTAGCTGACCTTCCTTTGAACAGTCCCTGCTTTTTGCCCATACTTTCATAGATTGTCTGTAGGCAGAAATGTATTTAATCTTTGGGATCACTTTTCATAGGTGTAGTAGGCCAAAGAGTGAAGAACAGTGATGATTTAAACTGGAGCACTACTTCTGTTGAAGCTTCACTTGGGTTGAGAACAGGAGCAATCAAGTAGTGGAACATAAAGCAAAATGCCAGCACAAGCAACTACTGAGAATCAGTTTGCACCGTTCTGAGTCTTTTTTCAGGAAAACCTGATTAATAACATCTGAGCATATGTATATAGCCATAAAGAAGACAGAAGTATTTCTCAGTTTTCTTAATGTGAACCTGCATTTGATGCAGCTGATGACTGTAACCAGCCTTCAAGTTTCTGCAACACAGTGCAGTTATTTGCCATGCTGCTTCTATGTCACCTACTGCAGGGGAAAGGCACTGGCTCTAAACACTGGAATGTTGTAGTCAAAGGCAGTGGGTCGTTCATCTCACTCTGATGTGGGATGTGTTGATTTTTGGCCCATTGCATCAGGTGCCATCCCAGCTAAAGACCAAATGGACCCTCCACAGCATGGCACCATGTCTCTGCAGGACAGCTGACAGCAGGAGTAGCTAACTGTGCTTGAAGAGCTAGAGCTTGCAGTCTTCTTACACCTACTCTTTATTTCAGGTAAATCAACCTTTTGTTGTTGATAGAGTAAGAGTCAATATTTAGAGCTGTTTGAAAAAGGTGGACCGTTGAAAAATATTATGTGATAATGATTGATTTTATTAGAAATGGAACTACTAATTGCCATTCCCTATACATCATCTGATACTTTAAATATGGCATGATCAACTGAAACCTTTTATCACCTCCTTTTTTTTCATTAGTATTATTTCCATTTATTTTCATTCATTGTCTCCTTTTAGATTTTGTTTACGACAGTATATAAATTAATTTAATGTACTACTTCTCATTGATCATACTTCTTTTCCTTAAAAGGAGAAAATATCTGAAGAGTAATTGAATTAATGGTATACATTGGTTCTGTATACACACAAAAAATACCTCTCCCACAAATATTTTCAGAATTTTAGCTGTAGGATATTTTAAATCTTAATGAGTCAACTCAATGGTAGAATTAGCTCTGTGCACCCAATCTGAGCACACCTTACATAGCTCACCAAAAAGCAAACATACAGAGGGAGAAACCAGGTGTAATGTGAATGGTAAGAAACAGTTCCCTGAACCTGCTAATGGTGAACACCTGAGTCTGAGCTCTCAGTGTTCTCACCTGTCACATCAATTTGAAGTTAATGAGTATTTGATACCTTTGTAAATCAGGCCCATATAGACAACTGATAGACATCTCAGGGATTGCAGTAAGAGAAAGAAAAAAGCACAGAAAATAAATCTAGTGCTACAGTAAATTTATCCAGTAACTTTTCTCGAAGGAAAAACTTTTGCTTGAAGTGTTGTCACATGGATGTTGATAAGATGCCCATGGAGTCAGTTAATGCTCTGGGAGTGCTCATCAGCCATCTGTTCAGTGACTTCCAAGCGTCTTGGAAGGAGAAAGGTCTGTTCAGTGCTTAAGACAGCTTTGCTCAGGAAGCCATATGCAACAAGGATATTAAAGCACAAAAAAACTCCCAAGAAGCCCAGTGAAAGCTAGTGGGCTTTCACCCATTAAAAGTGAAACTGTGACAAGTGATGTGGAGGGATGTTGACTTACCCTGAACGTTGCTTTAGATTAAAAATCTTTGTGTTGGATGCTGTTGAGTTCCTCCCTGCAGCACACACCGTCACCGCAGAAATCAAACTGTTCCCAGGCTTCAGTTTAATTATCCATACACATCTGCCACAGGGGTGAGCATCCTTAAAAGTTCTGTGACTTAGCAATAGCTGGGTGAGTTACTTAAGATTCTACGAGGTGTGAGAACTTCTCCAGGAAACAATGCAAAATAATGTGCAATAATGAATAATGAGAATAATGAAGATGGAAATGGAGCACAAATCATCCCCATGGGAGCAGCTAATAACCAAGGGCTGGTTTTGTACTACTGACATTACAGAATTTGCAAAAAACCTGAAAAGGAAACTAATCAGAGCTCTGTCTTGCAAATGCTCTAAGTCCTGCCTGATAAGCTGCTTTTAGAAAACTAAACTTTTCAACAGTAAATCCTTGCTGAAGTGTAAGGCACATGATATCTGTAAGGATATTTTACAACAAAAGCATACTTAAACTTGGCTATAAGAGGAAGTAGATACAATGAGTGTGATGTGATTTGTCTTTTGTTACAGGATATCTTCATCAAAAAGGAGAAGTACAGTAAACTGAAGCTGGAATTTGCCTTGATATGAAAAAAAAAAAAAAGGAAAAAAGTTTTTTCTTCCTGCTACTTTTGAACCCAAAATCTGTTTTCAGTTCACAGTGTTTTTTAGTTAAGTTACAACTTAGAAACCGTCACAGCTCTGATTTCCAGGGAAGCTCATTTTGGAAGGTGGTAAATACAACTTAAAAAGCAATCTCAAAAATAATTTTTGTAACACTGCTTTATGAGAAAATGTAAATCTGAGTTTTAGAAGACATGTGGTTGTTACTGTACCTCAGCTTATTTTTTTTAAATTAAACAATTAAAATGTTCATATGTGTTGGCCACCAGATGCTGTACCTTATTACAGTTTAAATAGCCAGCCTGGAATAAGAAATCATTATATTCTCAAAATCAATTTTGCAGAAGCATATGAGGTCATGTATTTTTATTGTTGCATGCTTACCTGTTACCACAGTATTTTCCTGTTAGCACCTGGCTGAATGGTGGGACTTTTTTAACAAAAGCCAGGAACCCAACTGTCCTTTCCTAAACTGATGCAGACCTGCACTGGCTGTCTTTACAAGGAGTGTTAATAAAAAAGATACAGGAATCTTCAAGAAATGGGCTGCAGCTTGTGTGGTGAGGTTGCCATGAGGAGGGGAGGCTCTCAGGCACACGGGTGAGCCAAAAGCCACTCATGGGAAGAACAGGCTGCATGAAGTCTTTTTAGGTGGATCTAAGCTGACTTCTGTTATTTCAAATTTTAAACATGTATGTGGATATGGAGGTGAGGGGTGTTCATATGTAAATGTATATAATATTTTCAGCTACTCAAGTTTTTATGAAGACATCCCAAGTTGGACAACAGAGGGCTGGGAGTTTGGGGAAGGAGAAGCAGAAACCTGGAAGTGGAATGAGGTTGTCAGAGCTTGTCCAGTACATGTTTCTAGTTGGATGTGAGTTGATCAGAAGGTTGCACAGTATTAGTATTGTACTAGTACACAAAAGAAGTTGAAAGCTGCATTTTTTGGAGAACAAATTTCAGCCCTGTTGATAAATCAACATCTGTATATGAACTGATGCCAGTCTGCTGGTAGCCATCATTCAGGTGGGATCCTGCTCTCCATGGTGGGGAGGGCTCACATGGCATGTAAGGAGCTCCAGAAAGTAAAGGAAAATGTGATGTGAAGTGAGGTCAAACTAAATGAAAGTCCACTTCTCATTGCCTGCTCTAGATGTGGCTGCAGATGGCCAACACTGCTGAGTGGACACTGAACATACATTATTAAGGTATATTCTTCTGGTGAGATTTTAAGCCTCAGTTTTCTACTTGTAGAGGATTTTTTTCTTTTACTCTTGCAGTGTTCTACATACGCAATATTCTCTTGAATTGCAGCAATTGTTGCATATGTTTAAATACTGGTGATAATTATTTTGGTACACAACAATTATCCATGATCAGTCTCACATTGAATAACTGATGATGTCATATATTCTATAAAAGTCAGTTTTGTTTAGGTTGGGGAAAGGATGTTTAGTTCAGCTGTGAGTGTAGATCTTCTGTGAGACAATATGAAAATTGTCAAGAAATAGGTAAGAGATGTCATGTAAAGCTCCTTTATAGAACTAGGCCTTCACCCCTTTAGCCCAGCACCTAATCTTTGACAGAGGTGAGAGATTATCTCGTTTTACATGAGGTCAAGGTGTAACAGATGGAATTAAATCAGAAGAATGGATTTTACTATTAGTCCCAAGGTTTGTTACCTTTAGAGATTGTTGCTTCTATAGCATCTGTTTGTACACATATGGATCTCCAATTTCTTTTTTTTTTCATTTTCCTTTGGATCTTTTACTTGTCTGGCATCATATATCCATTACTTTTCTTAACATAATTTCATGCTGTGTGAATAAATACTGCTTTTTAGTTTTTTTGAGTGTAGATGTTGTCATTTGTATGTTGCAGTCTGTGCCCATAACCTCCAAGCAAAATATAAGTTTATATTCTCTTTGTTTAAATGAATAATTGGATTTTTTTTTATTGAGGGGCTTTAAAAAAAATCTTGACTTGATGTTTATGTCACTGTTTATTTGATTTTTAAATACTTCTTATATTTTTAATTGATAGTAAATTTTATATGATATCTCCAGCATAACTTATTTTTAGGTGGAGAAAGTAAATAAATAGGGAAAAAAAGACCTTTCAGTTTAATCAGGAGTAATTTTTTACAACAGTAAGTTATGGGAGGTGCACCAGTATCAATGGGTAAGGAGTGTTACCTCTGCCATTATTTTCTGAACAACAAATCAGGGTAGTAAGTTGATTTGAGCAAGTTTCTAGTCTCATCTTTAGCTCAGAGCAGAAAAGTACTTTTTAGTTTTCACTCTTATTAACAGTACAGAAGTATAGTGGGTAATAAAAAGGTAGCCATCTGCCATCCAATAAGTTATTTAATAAGGTTCTGCTACAGAATCTTTAATACTGAAAGTGATGTACAAGTCAGATCTATCAAGGATGCCTGTTATCTCAGCTTGAGTTTGCAGATGGAAAGAAATCTGTCCACTTGTTAATAAAGCAGTTTTTATCCAGGGACTGTAGAGTCATTAAAAGTAAACCTTTCCAGGATTACTTTTTTCAATAGGCCTTTTTTTTAAAAAAAAACACATCATCATTACTAAATACCCAGTGTTTCACTACAAATGGCTCAAGTGCTTTTACATTGCAAGATACTTCAGTCAAAATTAAGTAAGTATCAGGGCAGAAAAGATTACCTCATTATCACAGAATTCTAGAAACTTTAAATATACGTGCACATATAATTCCTGTTGTGATTTTTCTGTAGAAAGATACTATGCTAATCCTCTCATAATTTTAATTATCTTTTTAGACTCACTTTAGAAAAAGAAGTAATGAAGTCAGTATTACTCTTTCAGCTGAATTCATTTTTTGAATGAAAGAGCAGCCCTCCTATTAGATATCTCACTTTAAGTGTCATTTCTGTTTCCAACAAAACAAATGAACTCTTTGTTATTAGTTTTTAGTTTTACCTAGGAAGGTCCACAGCCTTTTTTTTACCTGCTATTATGCTGAGAATGAGTTTTTTAATGAAAGCTATGTTGAGACCTGGTATTTTTTTAAAAATTGATCTAATACCTTTTGTAAGGCTTATTTTTTATTATTTAATACTTTGTGAAGGTTTTTAACATTGTACTGCATAAGATGGGAACAGTGTTTTCAATGAGTGTTTCAAACCATTTCCTTTTATGAAAAAGACATATCTGGAGTTTTAAACATTTGTAAGCTACAAGAGTTGAAATTTAGGGAAGTCACTGAAGCAAGTTATCAATCAGTTAATAACTAAGGAAAAGGAGTTAACTACTTGTGTAAAACAGGTAGTCATGCATGACTTCTTGCTAACTAAGACCAAAACCAGGACAGTATCAAAATAAGCAATCCTCTCGAGACTTGGCCACCTTATCTAGACTAATGAAACCGTTATTTTTCTTCAGGCATTTCTTCTAAAAAAATCTCTTGTATTATTAGGTTTTGTTGATGGGATGTTCTGAATGCTTCTTCCTAAAGGTGCGACTGCATTTGACACATCAATACCAGGTCATTTGGTGTCTTATCCAATGTCCAGCAAGACATTTGGAAGTCCTCTTGATTAGTTCTTTTAATTTCAACCTAATCCCATGCTGTTTGTAAAGTATGGCAATGATCTCAATAGCTCCACTTGCATATATATATATGTATATGTATATATATATATATATATATATTTCTATCTATTTTTTCTTAGAAATTATCCCTTGTGTTTTGTGTTTTCACCCCTTGTGTGTAGAGAATTTCCATATCTATCAATATTATCTGCAGACCTGAATGAGAATGGGAGCATAGACACCACTTAGCCTCCATTCTTTATGCATCAGAAAAAGCTGCTAACATTATTTTTTGTTTATTTCAGGTTTCTTTTCTCCATGGAAAACTCCAAAGCCTGTAAGTTTCCTTTCAAAACTGTACACATTGAGTTCATAAGATGGCTATCGTGCAAAGCAAATTTCTGTAGACTGTCACCTACCCATCCTGTTCCCAGCCCATGGGACACCTCTCAGCAGTGCCCCAGCTCCAAGTGACACAGCACCGGGGGTGGCCTCCCTGAAAAGCTCTGAGGGTCTGTCTGTTGGCTTGGAGCCTGCCAGAAGGGGAAGAAGGAAAACCCTCATGTTAAAATGGGTGGCAAGAACCAGAAATGTAGTGGCTTAAAAATAAGAGGTCTGGAGAAAAATGCAGCAGAAATGAGTCCAGTCTAGTCTTCTACTTGGCAAATTCTTTGGAATTACCAACATGCACTTTTTCTGATTTACAAGTGGCTTGAGTTTAACATCCTCAAGAAGATTGTTACTCTTTCTTGCCTTAGGAGATCTAGAACTGCAATAGTCACACTTCAAATAAGAGCTTGGGCTAGATAACTGACTGAGGTGCCTTTTAATCAACTTTTCTATGTTTTTATGATTTTGACAGTAAAGACCAAGGTGTAAAGACTTCCCACTGTAAGACTGTAAGCAATGACTGTGTTTATTCTGCTGGCATCACATTCTATATTTTTTTTTAATTTGTGACAGCTTTCAGAGTATAAAAAGAATTTATAGGCTACTATTTTTGGTTGTCTGGTTTGTTTTATTGTTGTAGGGGGTTGTTTGGTTTTTGTTTTTTGTTTTTTGTTTTTTTTTTAATTTGGCTCTTTAATTGAGATTTTACAGGCCTTAGAGTAATTCTTAATTCTCCACAAGGGTGTGTAGAGGAAATAGATCCTGAAGACTCCTAAGAGCAGTGAGAATAACAATAGCAATACCTTTTAAAGGACTTACAGCCTTCTTACTGGGGAGCAGGCAGGGCAAGTACATTAAATCTGAAAAACTTTAAATACTCTCATATTGGAACATGGCATGCTTAAATTTTGCCAAAATAATTTTTGTATCCTGTCAAGTACAAATAGCAATTAATCAGCTGATGCAACTCTGTCAGACTACTTCAGGTTGTGGTGGTTTTGCTATAAAAGGATAGAGTCTGTGTACAATACATTGGAATAAGTATTGCATAAGTTGCTTTGTTCATCTGTGTAGCAGAACATTTTTGAAAATAAATTGGAATATTAAAGGCTGGCTTGCTCTCACCAGTTTAAGACTCCTGAATTGCTGGAATGTTCAACTTTTAATCTCAGATAAAAAGTGAGGAAATAGATAGCTTGCTGCTCTCTTGTTAAAGATCCACATTTGAAGACCTCCTCCTGTCCATACTTTGCCCTTTTATGTACACATCAAATATATAAATATCAGTGTATTTATTGTTGATGATTTTCTGCAATATCTCCTTATATAAACAGTATGGTAGTTCATGCTCAAGAAGCACTTGCCAATAATCAGGATCTAGAAAAACAACCTGAGCTGATGCAATTTTTCATGCAATGGTGTGAGGAAAACCAGGGCTTGCAGAACAATATAACACCATTGTGTGCTGTACCTGCAGGCAGACTGACTGCTCACAGCCACTCTATTTTGGGGTAATCTCAGCAAGAGATTTCACTAATGATTAACCGAGTTAAGGTAGTGTGAATTCCTCTGTCTGGCATCACTTTTAACTAGAGAAATAGTCAGACATCAATTTCTCATGTCCAAGGCCTGAAGACTGAAACCGAGTGCCTGCAGCAGTGTGTGCACAGTCTGAAGCAGTAAGGCCAGCACAGGAGGTTTAGAAAGCCTCCCCAACACCTCAGCACAGCCTGTATCTGTGTAACAGCACAGGAAACAAATAACCTGGGGTATGATATTTCCAGTGATTCCTATGTATATCATACATATCTTATATATGTATATCATGTATAATATTAGTGCAGAATGACCATGAGCAATGTCACCAAACCATTACTCCAGTTTGGATTTGGTGCCCTTCACTCACTACTGTCCTTACTCACTTTCAAGAATGCCTTTTTTTCTGAAGTAGCATTATGATAACTTCCATTACTGAATGCTAGGTGACTGTTTAATTAGCTTATACAGGTTTGGGAGATATAATTCCCCTTCTGTTTATCTGCTTATTTAGCTGGTTGAACTTCACACTTGAAGATTTAGAGTTAACCAGCAAGCAAGAGATAGACATATGGGACCCAGTAGGGTTTTGCCAATTGATCTCCAGTTTCCTGTCCTTTCTCTAGGGTAGTTTGCTCATCAAAGATAATTATATTTTCCTCTCTCTTTTTAAATCTTTCTTTAAGTATTTTAATTTTGTCAAGTTTCACATTTTGAAAGAGGTAAGTGATCTGCTTCCCCAGCACTTCCCAATAAATTAGAAATCTTTCACTTCTAGGCAGACATGGCCCTGCATGTCTTTCCTCTTCATGAGAAGTTTGGTTTCACTGGCTTATGTTCTTTTAGATTCCTAAGGGAAGGTAAAGCCTATACATATTTTTTCTGGTAATTTCCTTTATCATAAACTGCCTGAATAGAGCTTAGTTCTTTTTTCCCTTTAGACATGGGAGTCATGATCAGGTGTGTTTCTAGAGACCTTTGTATTTACAATTCCATAATGCAATTATATTTGTGTTTATAGCTACTGGATGTAATTTATTTAGGGCTCAGAAGTAGTGCAGTGCTATCCATATGATTTACCACACAGGCTAATTTACCCAAAGGGCAATATTTGCAGAGGATAAATTTATCTTGGTGTAAGAGGTACCTGAAGGTACCCAAGGTAAATTCCTAAGCTATTTCAGTGGCAGCTCAGGTATTTCCATATGCCTCTGTATTGCACAGAATGTACATACTTATAGTTTTGAATGAACCAGCCCTACTTGCTGCTGAAATTCTGACAGAAACACACCTTGACTTATAATAATACTTTTTAAAATAGTTAGGTCCTTCACAACTGAAAATGGCCAATATCTATAATCTATGTGTTCTTAAGTATGAGCCTAAGAAGGTCAGATCACCAGGGATATGCAGCAGGATAGTTATTCAGCATATTCACCAGGAGGACACTAAAATATCTATAGTCCACACATACTTGGTGTGAAAAAAGCCTGGTGCAGTTAATCGTCAGAACAGAGAGTAAAGCCTGCCTGCTGACCCAAACACCTTCTGAAACCAAGGAACTAAAGACAAATGATAGTCACAGAGTTTGTAGAGCAAGCCCACTCTAAATCTGCAATCATCTTTGATAAAGGTTTGCTGATACAACAATAGAAGTCAGTGGAATTTAATTACAGATGAGTTTGTTTCCAAGAGGCGTTTTTTGTGTAATTACCATTGTTGGGTTATGTGTGAGAACACACTGTTCTGGAGGCTTTACCACCCTTGTCCTCAGGAGGGGTTGTAGGAATAGCTAAGTACTCATTTCCTGGGATAAACATTTGTGTTTTGTTTAATTTAGCCTCTTCAAAGAAATTTGCTAATGCAATTTGATTAGTAGCCAACTTCTTCAAGAAATAAAAAATCAGATCCTCAAGCCATCTTTAGCACAGCCTATCATGTCTTCAAGTTTGATGTACATGTAAGACTGCTAAAGACAGTCTTGTAAAAAGCGTGAACTGAGGTGTCTTTCATGCACAGACAATAGGCTGTTGTAGGCTTTCCTGTAAATGGCCTGGAAGAGTTGAAAGCCTTATCCTGTGCTTGCTTGTATAATGCCACTTTAGTGGGGTTTTTTGAACACTAGATGCCTGAATATATGCTGTAATAATTTTCTCTTCGGTTTTGATTTGTTTTGATTTTGATTTTGGTTTTTTAAATCTTGCATTGGAGGTGTAAATTCTGGTCCCAGTTACAGTTATCTCCTTCTCCCTAGGCAGCTTGTTATTTTCATGTATTCTCAGAAGATACAGCATTAAAGCCATTCACTTTCTACACAGTCTGTCCCTTCTTTGCTAAGCACTAGCTTCATGTATGTTATGTATTTTGATGAATCTGATAATTGTGTCTTTACAAACTGACAGATTCCACCTTTAGCAAATAATTTCCAGTAGCTCAGCACATTCTGTGAGAGGCACTCCACATGCTCCAGAGGTAATGCTGGGCCTAATCTTACCTGAGAAAGGTCACATCTCGCCATGAGCAGCAAACTAAGTAAATTTAACCAAGTCATTTTATAAACAGCACAACACACACCTTTCATTTCAAAAGGCAGAAAACAGATTTACTAATTTTGAAAACAGATCCTCAACAGAAATCACTGGTTTTTGTCTCATTGTGGAAGTGACAGTTTTTGCAAAACTTCATTTTTATTCTCTGTATATTTTTATTGCAGATGATGGAACGATGGGAGAATCAAGGCAGCCCTCAAACAAGTGTGTCCGCTCCAGCTATGCCACAGAATATTCCCTATCCACCCGCCCTTCACAGGAGTTCATTTCCTGATTCAACAGAGGCCTTTGATCCACGAAAACCTGACCCGTATGAGCTGTATGAGAAATCAAGAGCTATTTATGAAAGTAGGCGTAAGTGAAAGCTCTCTTGACCCTGCTGGCCATTTAGTATTTAAAATTTTGCCTTTGAATGTGTCATTATTGGCATGATTTTCTGTAATTATCTTTTGTAATTTAAAGGAACTACGTTTCTTTCCAGTAAATAGAGTCCATTGTAAATGTTTCAAAAATTGTACACTTACATATTTTCTTTGATCTTACCTAAATTCTCATATGTGACTTTCATAGGTGTTTTTTCCTTATATTTTTGATCTCCCCATTTTGACTGTTAAGTCCTTGGTGAAGCACAGTAAATGTCCCACCACATTTTACTGTGGTTATTTTTTTTTCATAGTCAACCAATAGGAAGATGTGAATTTAAAAATGAAAAAAAGTGTCACCTACTTTCACTTCAAAGTGACATTTTTTTAAGAAATTTCAAATGTATTTTTTTATAAAAATGTCTTTGACAAGTTTTCACATTGTCCTTGGTAGTTAGAAAGCAGCCCATAGCATGAAGTACTATTTGAAGACCTATACAAAACAATACTGAGCCATTGAGATGCTCATTTTGATTTAATTTCTCATGTTTTTGGAAGTATTGTCCATGTTTTTGACAGCAAGAATAAAAGAGCTTAATCTTATTTACTTTTTTTGTAAAGAACATTTTGACTAAAAATATTGTTCTAAATTGTCTGCAGCCTTTGCACTTAGTAAGATAAATTCTTAAATATAGTTAACTTTTTTACTGAAAGCTTCCTCACCACTGCCATTACTTGCACATGCCACTTTTCAATTCATTTAGTAAAATACTTGTGCCTACAGACCAAAATATGCTATAAATTACACACAAAATATTGGAGCTGATCAGACCAGCCCATTAATGTTAGTTGGGCCCAGAGACCTGGAATATTCACATTTCTTTGGTATGCAAAGGGATAGTCTGAAGGAAATACATTATTGTCCCCAACAGTGGGCTCATACCATTCTTACTTGCCTTGCCTAATACATTAGTTAGAGCATCAGCATCTCCTCTTTGGCTTTGGCATTCCCAGTCCCCACAAGAATGGATATGCTGGAGGAACCCCAGACTTCATTTCCAAGTAAACTTTTATCTAGTCTTGAAGCTGCATGTCATATTCCTCAGTTCTTTGCCACTGTGGCCAGTGCCACCATCTTCTGCCCCACTGATCCTATTACTGGAACACTTTTCAATATAGATTGTCACCCTAAAAAATACAGATTTTTTTTTTTTTTTTTTGAGGGAGACAGTTGTTGATGTTTTATTTAACTCTGTGTACTTAAATAAATTGCTGGGTTTTTTGATGAATACCAGTATCTTACCAGGGTATCTTACTCTCCCTAAATATGGATGTGAGTACTTAGACCCCTGTAAAAAATGTATTTAATCTTCAATTATAAACTGTTAGGCATAGTAACCAAACTTTCCAGTACATTTACAAACACCATGTATGTAGTCCATGATGACCGGCATTCCCAATGCAATGTACAAAAAAGAGACTCTAATTTTTGAAATTTTAAAACTCATTGAAGTATGGATCAGGATACTGTGTGGAGTAGACCAAATAGCTTTGAAAGAAGTAGGACTAGTTTTGATCAAAGATTGGAAATAATTTTCAGACATCTCTCCTCTTTCACTTTCTCTTGTGCATTAAGGGCTAGACTAGCATATAAAAAAAAAAACATTTGCTTGAACTGCCATGTTATTCTCCAAAGTTAGAAAATTGGATATATGATAAATTAAAAGAATCCATTCCATATTTAGAAATTACTTTATGTAGTTCAGCACCTCTACTGAAAAAACTCTTGGCTTTGTATAGAGCTCTAGCAAACAGAAAACTCTTTGCAAATAATCATTTCCCATATCAGTAGATTTTAGAAGTGATGTAGTTTAACAAAAATCTTTTCACTCAACAATCAGAACCATCTCTGTAGTTGAAGTCATCAGGCCAAGAATGCCAATTTCCTACACAGAAACAAGTATCTCTGGGAGACAATTAAGAAAATATTATAAATACCATATGGATGTATGACATATGTATTTATATGGCTTTTTTTTTCATCCTGATCCCCAATCTATGCTTGATCTATGTGTGCCCTTCATATAACTGTGGGAATACAGATCTGATGTCAACCACAAAGATTCACTTACCCCCCAGAAGATTATATACTCCATTACAAGATATATTATACCATGCAATATTCATGGGTGCTTTCATCAAGTTTTCTGAGCACTTCTTTGACTAACATGAACTCTTATGTTTTACTTATATGATCTACTCTGTTAAGGAGTATATGCTTTACAATAGAAGGAGCATCTAACATGTGGGTTGGAGTTATGCTAAAGCCTGTGTTTTAATGGTATCATTGCATTTGAGTTCTGTCCAAAAGGCAACTGGAAACTGTATGTGAGATGTTTTCATCACCAGCTGCCTAGAAAACCAAATAATTAAAAATAGTAAAGCTGCTAGGCCCAAAACAAGAAAGTGAGAGATGAAAAGCAAGACTGCAGTAACCTTATCCTAGATTTTGATCAGTGTCCCATCTTCCAGCTAATCTTGGAAACTTAAATTTCTTATCTTCTTTCTCCACTATCCCCTCAACATTTTCTTTAAGATTTGATTCCACCAGTTTCCAACCAGATCAACCAGATCTTGTCTGCATTCATTCATATCCCTTATTTATAAATAGCTACCTCCAAAGATCTCTATTCTCCCTGACATTTTTGTTTTATGAATGCCATAAGCACACATTTTAGAAAATTTAATTTGTCAAGCCTTAGCACCACATAGTTGTCCTGTTTCCTGAAGATGGAAACAACAGAAGGAAATCCATTACTGAGTCAAGTAATTGTCATCTAATTTGAGTACATAGGAGGGAGAGTTTCAAGACAACACTCTTTCCTACCATATGGTGATGTCAGGTTGGTTATCTTTGGGAAGAACATACCCTAAAAGTGCACAGGAAAAGTTCAGCTGCTTGGTTTTTTTAAGTACTTTTTATCTAAAGGCAAGTATGTCTTATCTCCTAGCAAGACCTTCTTTTCATCTTCTAAAAATAGGGCAGAGAAGTGAACAATCATGACCTGGAAAACTCAAAAAGAAAGAGATAGTGCAAAATGTTTATTTCTCTCATTGTGAGACTGTTACTAAACAGTTCATTTTTGTACTTCTATAACTCTGAATTTACACAGAGCCTTTTATCATAGGGTTTCCCCACAGTCAGCAGTCACCAGGGCCTCATAAAATTCTCCTGCTTCCCAATCAGAGAGGGAGTGAAGCGAGTTATGAAAACCAGGGTAGTTCTGTGAGGAGCACAAGGAACATGACTCAAAGCAAGAACTAGACCAATGTGCTGCCTCCAACTCATGCCTACCTAATAATAGCAAGAACAGGGTTGCAAGCAGGAAGTCTCAATGAAAAAGTATGAGTTTTATTCTACAGAAATGTTTTTCCACCTAAAGAACATGAAGAACCTGCAAGACCCTGTGTGATGGGAAGATTTCAGTTTGTTATGGTTACATATGAATTGCAAAGCACTACCACTTCTGCATGGGAAATAGTTCCATACAGGCAGAGTGCAACTCTCTTTTGGAAGTCATAGTACCTTTGAAAATTGTTTGCTATGAGTTGGCTGTTACCTGTCAGGTCTTCCCTCTTAGCTGTCACCAGCCTCTGCTGCCACCTATCCCTATGCACAAAGCTCCAAGTAGATAAAAAAGCAGCATGAGGGGTTTCCAAACACTGAGGAGGACTACCATGTCATCTAAAAAAACTGCTTAAAAGCAAAAGATGGGAAATTGGTTTATGCTTTCTTTCTTTACTTTGTCTCTCTGGTTTGGGTTTTGGTTTCTTTTTTGCCTTTAAGGTTTGGGGGTTTTTTTTTAGTCTCTTTCCCCATTTCTTCTTGTTTCTTCTGCATGCTGAAGAATACCTACCTAACTTTCTGCTGTGACATAATTTTCTCATCTGGATACTTTTTCATTTTTTCTGTTCTTCTATTAATTCAAAGCAAAACCTTTATCTCCTTTCTCCTTACTAAAACTGTTAGATTGTAAGTGACGGTGTGACTCTCCCCATAACCAGTTTAGGTCCAGCAGGTAGAAAACGGAACATCAGATCAGGAATTTCCTATTAATGAAAAAATGATTACTTCATATACACCAGATTAAAACAGCTGTAACTGGAGCCCTTGAGTTATCATTAGGAGACCTCCTTCACCTGAATTTTAAACTTTAGATTTTATAAATTCTCCTTGTCATACCTTATGTTTTATATTGAGCTCTGTTTATTGTAGATTCACAGTTAGTAAAAAACTTCATTCAGATCCCCTGTAGGCATTAGTCAAGCAGGAGTCACAAAGCAGTTGGGAATCATAATTCCATAATATTTCTCTAGTTATAATAGAAATTTGAGGTTATATTCCTCTAAGGAAAGAGGTAAAATAAAATATTTTTTACATTGATTGGGTTACATTTGTCCTTCAGTTAGTGTGGTAGCCAAGGCTGGTGATGTGACACAGAAATGCCAGTAGGAAGAATGAGATAAGCCAGTGATAAGCTCTCATTAAAAGTGAAATCTGAACAATTACAGTTCCACCTTTAGCTGGAAGGACAAAAGTTACTTTCTTCAAAATCTCCCACATTATTTTCTCCTCTGACAACAGTATTTTGAATTTCTTAAGTCCCTTTCAAATCTACCAGCTGTTTTATGCAATGCATTATTTTTTTACTGCCAGAGGTTTTAAAAAATTGGAAAGCAACCAAAAAGCAAAGTTCACCAACACCTGTGAAATATGTAAATGGCAAATCTATTTGCATAATTTGGCTCCACATAATAAGGTATATTCTTTGGCAGACTTATAAATACCTTTCTGTAAGGGTCACAGACAAGCACTTCAATTCATATTCACAGGCTACATTTCCTCCAGAGCATCAGCACAGATATGCATTAAGGTAGGAAAGATTTGTCAGACAGCATTATACTGATCCATAATGTGTTAACTACAAAAAC